AAACATTAAAGATAAACAACAACACATAATATATAACAGTCAAAAATATTGATATTCTTGAATGTGAAACATGACTATTTTTAATGTTTTATTTATTTATCAATTATCATGCAGTGAAATCCAAAAGTTATTAAATTATAATACTAGTAATATATTTTGATAATTGTTTATCTTTCCGATCTCAACTAAAAATTAATCAATTATTTTACATGTATTTACCTTTGATGTATAGATATTTCAGGATCATAGCCAGTGCAAACAGTTGATTAATGGTCCATAGTGAACAACTGTATATTCTATACTTGTCATATACCTCCTTGTCTTTACATCTGAAATGGTTTAATCAAATATAATATTTTTTAATTCAATCATAATTTGCTAGGTACCATATTAACATGTATATATAATTGAAAAAGGAACAAGAATAAATTGGAAGGGAAAAAATATCCGAAAAGTCCGAATTTTGTATAACTTTAATATACACTAGAATTAAAGTGTTTCTCCATTGTTTATTTCATAAGTTAAAATGGTTTGAATTAATTTCTCACATCAGTAGTTTTAAAACAATAATAAAAGCTAAACAACTAGAATTCAGTTCACTACCTGACGAAACAATTGTCACTTTCCGAAAATAAACTAGTTTTATTAAACTCTATAAATCCCTCTTTTTTTCCGTCAGATAATTGACCTTATGCATTTTTTGACCCGTGCTATCCATTCCTTCAAATCTGAAGAGGACCGAAACAAATTTAACTTCTATATCCCTCGAGTTCTTCGGGTTACCTATATGCGTAACGGTAAATATGTCTGCCGATGTACCCGGAAGTGGTAAATCGAAAGTGAAAGTAAACGAGACTTACGGGTCCTATTATATGAATATTCTTCTCGTGCCAAACCGACTATATATATATGTTTGTCTTTGTTTAACAACGATAAGCTAATGTTGAAGTCAAATAAAACATTTGCTCTGTATATTCATAAAAATACCTATAATTGTATATTATTAGGCTGAGTATAAATCAATGAAGATAAAGCAAAAAATATTGTTTTCGGATCACCAGCACTCGTGCCAAAATTTATTAACAATTGAAGAAGCTTTGACAGTCAAATGGTATTAGGTTAGTTGTCATCGTTGTCTTATTCATTGTTAATTATATTAAAAATATAACTTTGGTGACATAATCATTTCTTTCATCGACTTCAATTTCAAATGTCTATATTTACTAAATCTTTTATCTGATGAAAACAATATGTATCCACTACATTGCAAATGAAATTGAAGTATATTTATTTCATTTTTATTTATTTCAGACTCGATGCTAAATCTAAATAAAAACTTTTACCAAACTATACGGAATTTTAAGGGAAGACTTGATGATCTTCAAGACACATACAACAACCTTTGTTTCTAAGAAAACGTTTGAAAATATTTAGAAACGCGAGTTTGAAAACGGATGATAACGCCCTACCCCACGACTCGTTACGGATTATACCAGGCTGATACAATAAATTCACGTTGGCGCATCAGAAGTCTACATTGGCAATAGGATATGAAAGAAAAGCAGACGAGAAACAAAAACGGGCAGAGAAATGTGAGTGACATAATTTCAATGAAAATTATATGTAAAATACTTCAATATACTTAAAAACTTAATATACACTTCAGGCATCAAAAATTAAAGGCAATGTTATTATATCGATTTTTGTTTGAGCGTATGTTTTATTAAACACATACACCAAAAAACAAACCAATTTTATATAAATTTTGTACGTGTGCATGAACGTTATTTAAATTTCAAGTGCAAATACTTTGCAGAACATTAAACATTTAAACATTTATGATACATATAGATTGCTTAGAAAAAGGTTTATTTTTATTCCTCTTTCAATGTTCATAAGTCTTCAATCTCTTGGCATAATTGCACATTTGCATTTGTTTATTTGTTTCACTCCAATAATAAAATTTTGGAAGCATAAATCACAACAAAATTACATTAACATTAGTAAAAAAAGAAAAATAAGCCATTTTTACTTTGTCTATTGTTTTATTCCAATAATTAGTCATATTATCATTTCAACTATATACAATTTTATTTTATGCCAGTTCCATTTCATCCCAAAATAGACGGTACTTGAACACAACAAACACAATGTGGTGCGGAACAATATTCAAAGATCGGAAACATGTGTGGTTGAAAGTACGAGTAAAATTTTTACAGCTTCCATACTTAGATATGTACATCTAAGTAAGACAAAGAACGGTTAAATAAAAAGGCAAGTTGACATGTTGGATAATTGGATTGATAAACTGTAGATGTAAGTGCTAGCTTCCGTCCACATCCCGTAGCACCGGGCTTCAGCAGAATGAATTCCAAATCTGTTTATCAAAATAGCACAACTTCTAAAAGCACATTTAACAAAAAACTTCCAAAATTTAATAACAAATAAGTTTATTGAAGCATGTGTATATGACGTTTTATAAAATCTATTTAATAAACATACTTTTTTTATAGATAACAATAAAAAAATGAAACCTGAAGTTTTGTTAATAAAATATATTTAAAACTGGTCTTACAAGACGCACAATGAATTCTATGAAAAGATATCATAAGTGTCATTTATTAATTGTAATTTTATACCGTCCTTACGAGCTTCAATGATCTTAAAGCACTGTGAATATTTAGATCACTAATTATAATGTTTTGTTTTTACAATAACAATATTGAGAGTATTTTATGCATTATGATACGATATACATTATGATAAGATATACATTAAATAGAGTTGGAATCTGAATTGTGGCAATTAGAGTATTCAGAAACATTTTATTCAGACTTCTTTTGAACCAAATATTACATTCACTAAATAACATTGAATCGCTAAAACTTATTCTAACTTTTGTTTAAACATATTTTTTTTAAACTCGAATATGATGAAAACTAATTTTAGTTTAACTGATCCACTGATTAGATCCATCGATTGGACTTCGCTAAACTTATCAGTACTGGAGATATACGAAGTAACATTTTCGTAACCTCAGTTGGGCTCGAGTCCATTACACCTGGGTTGAGAGACGGACACCTTTATAAGAAGACCACCACTACCTTTTATAGAGGATCAGTAAAACACCGACAAGCAAGCACATGATAAATGCTTTTTTACGTTGAACTACAACGAACGGGCATCTGTTGGTTGTGACAGATGTTGCAATTCCATTCCCGTCATGAACAGACAACAGATGTAATGTATGATTTTGAAAAAAGGAGTTTTTTCCTTTGCTCTTGAAGAATCCTCAATTTTTAAGTGCTGTAAAGTACTTTGTAGCAGATGTAAAAATGTTGCGCCGTACTAATCCCAGTGTTATTACATATTCTGATCCCTCAAGATGATAATTAACATCCTTTTGTAATCATGAATAGCGTAAGTCGGAGTGGAATGATAAATTTTGCACACAATTAAGTCACAAACAAACCGATTCTACAGTTTTATTTCGCAATTTGCAGGCTCAAGGTATCCCTTCTGAGCCTTGTACAACCGAATGTTTCATAATGTTTGTTAAATCAATAACAAAAAAATTGAAAAGATGACAATATACAGGGAATTGTAAATTGAACAAACAAAATGTATATCAATGCATATCAAGAAGTAGTTCAATAAAGCACTGATACAATAAGACAGTGAAAAAAGAAGAAATCCTTAATGATTACCTTAACCTTCAGAGACGGGAGTGGTAATTGTATGATTGAACCTGTTTAATTAACACCAATCTACATTTCTAAACTGTATTACATAGTGTACATACACGTTTGTATGAATGATATTGAAAACTTATGCTAATTCAACAATTTTCGAATAATACGTAAAATATGTACTGAAAATATTTGTACATATTAAATCTAATCATTTAATTATATGAATTCATTTCTTTTTGGAAACTTTGACTTAGAATTTATAGAAAACAAGTTTCTAATTACCTCCCTTTATCTACATGAAATATTAAATTCGGTAATATGTTTATAAATAAAGCTTTTTGAACTTACTATATTGATAAATCGTAATTTGAGCATTATATTTTTTATACAAAACCATGAAAAAAATGTGTTACATGATCTTTTAGCAACAGATAGTCATGTTTTCGAACATGTAGGTCGTGATCATTGTGAGATTAAGAGTAAAAGCAAAGTATCTTACATTGTTAACAAATTAGTTTAATAATGCAAAATTAAATCAAGGCAAATATAAAAATTATTGCAATATGCTTTGCAACAATTCGCTGTGCACTCGTATGTCAAAATTCATAAAAAAACTGAAGATTAGAAAAATAGATAAAACATATAACGATTATCTATCTTTAAATTATCTACCTTGCAGATTTCACAAAACACATTAGTTCAAGTATCAGGGTCATCAAATACTTTATGCTAAATTGTTTTAAACAAAGATATAGTTTCGCTTACGTTGCAAGATCATTGATTCAGTCGAATAAGCACTACATACAATCTTATTTCGTTTAAGGAAGACATATTCATTGGATTAAATTATTCTATGTTGTTCTAAGATTAAACAAAGTAGTTTGCATAAATTTACGTTTAACACTTGCAAATATTAAACGATATACCAATTAACGTAAACAGCAGATATAATAAAATAAAGTTCTAAGACAGGCTTAATGTAGTATACTACTTTTGTTGTAATATATTAACATAAAGGAAAAATGTCGTCAAGAAGATCTCGATCACAATCTCCAAAAAGACGTCGGTCAGAATACAAACTGACACAAGATGTAAGTTCAATTGAAATAAAAGAAATTCTCAAAAAGAAAAGAAAGAAAGACGACGTGATAGATGCGTACATGGTCTTACACTCGGAAAAGTTAGACATAGAGAGGAATTTGAGGAAGTTGATAACAGATATCACTGATGAAGGACAAAATCAATCAAAAGAGACGAAAAAACTGAGAGAAGACAACTCCAAATTGAAGCTAAAACTGCAACAAACGCAAAATAAACGAAGAATTGCTCAGAGAACGTCAGGCTACACATGATTTAGAGGACGAAAAACGCAAAATAAACGAAGAATTGCTCAGAGAACGTCAGGTTACACATGATTTAGAGGACGAAAAACGCAAAATAAACGAAGAATTGCTCAAAGAACGTCAAGTAAGTTTTTTTTCAAATCGTCCATTATCCAAAATGTATGACATCATGTAGGGTGCAAATTATGGAAAATGCACTTTAAATGCTGTATTGTATTTCAGGAACACTGGAAATTTGTACACCAATTTGCAAAAACAATAGAGAAACTTCAAAACAAAGTACATATCAAAGGATGTCAAAATGTACAAATCGGGGACTCAAATATCGTAAAAGATGAAGTGATGTCTCAGGGGCAGAAATCTAATATCGTCAAAGATGAAGTAATGTCTCAAGGGCAAGAGCTTATACGTAAATTATCATTATCAATTGACAAACATATCGCAAAAAGACAAGAATTGGAAATGGAGATTCGGAATAATAAAGTATGTCACTTTACATGTCTTCATTGATTGACTACTGCTTGTGTCAAGCGTAGCACTTAATAATTATTTTTTATGATATCTTACATATTTGTATTTCAGTTTCTTTTGAAATAAACACTTTACACTTATATGAAAGATACATTTTGTAATTAAATTAGTAATGAGTATTGTTTATTACAGGTTATGCTGAAAGAAATGCAAGAAACCATAAAAAAGATTGTCAGCAACATTAAGAACAAGTCCAAAATACTGCGTGAAGATAAAGAGCTACTAACCGTTCTGACGGAAGACAGGTCAGATAAAAGAGTAATTCCTGACGGGGTTGAACAGTTAAGAAAGACCAAACCAGAATTGCAGAAGCTTCCGCCTGCAGTTAATGCTATGATGGAAAGATTACTTAACAAATTTGGTAATGGTTTATACTTTCTTTAAATTATTAGTCTTGCATAATATACTTTATCTATTATATCTTTTTTTTTAATGTATCTTCTTTTTCCTTTAAATTAAACACTAGTTTACATATTTTCAGGAAAATAATTCCAGTATACTTCATACTTTTACATTCAGGTAGTATTACATGCGTGAATTCGTTCAAATTCTTGAAGGTAAAAAATACAATCCAAACAAGGAAATAGCACCTGATTATTTAGACCAAACTGAAGGTTCACAGCTTTCTGTGAAGACGGGACCTGATTATTTGCGAGAGTTTGATAATGATGCCTCTCTTGACAAAAGTCTCTGTGTGGAAATTATTTCAAAATGGCTCCATATCTCAGAGGGAAACGATTCTGAAACACTTCTTGCAAAAATAGAAGCTTACGAAACCAAGTTATCAGCAGGCAAGTGTTATTTATTGAAAGATAAAGCATTGTGTTAGTTTGAAAAAGAATTAAAAAATATGTTCTTTATTAAAAAGAATTTCATGAATTGTAAACTTGTTGATATAATATCTTAGACTTTGTAAGAAAGTTAAATATTAAGTTTACCTCATATTATTCCAGAGTTAATTCGTCAATTCCAAGACGAAATAAACAGTGTAGATGTTTCAAATGATCCGAAAGAAATGCAGCAGCAAGCTGAAAACTGGGGTCAACAAGAAGATTCAAGAAATACAGAGCAAAGCCTCCATGGTCTCCCGGATGCTATATCACAGTTTATGCATCAGCTAGAGGGTCTGAAAATTGTTATTGATATTGATAGAAAAGTGGACAGAATTTTGAAATCAGTGGCTGAACCTAACCGCCATGATCACAATTCTCGTCTTAATAGATCAAGTGTCAGTTCTGACGTTTAAAAAAGGATTAAATATGTAACTATATGAGAAAATTTGAATTTCTGAAAATTGTCTTTTTTTTTCAAATGTATCTGTTATTTGTGCTTAAGTTTGGTTTAAACATAGTTTGTTCATCATATACATAAACAAGTTTTACACAACATATACAAAATGCTAGAAGCAACCAATTGATTACTAAAGTCTTTTCCGAATGCAAACCTAATATCAGTGCAAGATAATGCGATTAATTTTGCTAAAGCTCTTTTGTTCACAACAATGATTCTCTTGGAAACAATATGTACAATATGAAAAATAAAACTTACTTGTTCACCGAGAAAGCAATATCTTGAACGCTAGGGTCAACAATATCAAATTATCTGTGTTTACAAATGACCAAAGAAAGGTAGCAGTGAAGTAATTCTAGCGGTAAATCATGTTGACTTTTTAACGTATGAAAAGGAACTTAGTACTTTCTTGAATAGTCTACTAGTATTTATGTAAATAGCGATGAATGAATTTTCACTTATTCTTTAGATAGTCTACTAGTATTTATGTAAATAGCGATGAATGAATTTTCACTTATTCTTTAGATACTTTACTTATCTTAATCATTATTTGTATATACATCAAGTTTGAAATTATGAAATATCTATTTTTTCTACATATTATATAACATAATTGTGGTTTGAGAAAGAATAATAACAGGTTTCTAGTTATGAATTTGTGAAATCAACCTGATCAGCCTTATTATTTATACCCCTATAAACCAATTCTTAGTTTATTCCATTATTATTTCGCTCCAGCCAAACCCCTTGTAAGAACATTAACAGTTAATGGAAGTTTAGAAAAGACGTAATGGAATATAAATCTACATAAAAAAAACTAATATCATAATCAACTTTGAATGTACTTATAACATACATTTTTGTATTGTTGTAGATAAAGTGCAAAATAACAACATGCAATTGCATAAGATTTATTCCAACATACATACATGTACGTGTTGAAAACATACAAAATGTATAACATTGTATTTGTAATGTGTGTTCATATTCAACCACTCTAATGGAAGATAGAAAATATCATGCCGACTGATTATCAACGATAAAGTGATACAAACATACTGTTCATCATTTTAAAATCTAATACAATGTGGGTCTCTGGCTACATACAAACTAGCCAAAAATATATGCTATTGTTATGTTTCATGTTTATGCAAAGTGGCATTTTAAAACAATTAATGTGGGTAAACGCATCAACATCCTGTGATCGTAAATCATGAAACATACTGAATGGAATAGCTTGCAATAAATGATTCAATGATTATATGTGCTTCTAAAATTAATTATCAATAGATTATATGTAAATAATACAGTAATTGTGATTCTGCACTGTTTTAATAAATATACTGGCAAAATCCAGTACAAAGTACATATCAATCAACCTTTAGTCTGTTCTGCTGGAATTTAAAGTAATAAGTCTTTGCCTTTGAACAATTTGCTCCTGAAGGGATATATTACATTTTGGTATTTCCGATATCGCTGGCCCAGGTCTATAATTGACCTATGACAATCATTTGGCCTACAAATAACTATGATGACTGCCTATATATTAAAATACATTGTATAAAGCATGGAAAAGAGTGTAACGACGTCCCTCTGTCTTTAATTGACTTTATCTCCTTACACTGTGCTATACATCCGTATCTATCGGTTTACCAATTAAAATGAATTGGTCTACAATATGATTTTATTTCATGCTTTCCAGTGTTTTATTGTAATATATCAGATGATTATATTCTGATAAACCACTAGTGACATTCATAAAATATAATTTTCACTGTAGCCGAACTATATCTGAATGCGGATGAAAAGAAAATCATAACTAAATGGAATAACAGGCAGAAATAAATGCCGTCATGCGTAAATTTTGCTTCTTTAGGAAAAGAAAGTCGACGTCACCATACATTATGTTAAAAATGTAACAAAATAAGAGAAATTTAACAGAACTATATTTCAAAATTGATGATGTGACGTCATGATGTGATGACGTCAATAAGGAGAATGCGCGACATTACGCGGCAAAATCAGTAAAAAATACTTAAAATCACTTAAAAAGCATGAAATAAAAAGAAATTTTATTTGTTTTACATATAAGATTGAAATTTTTTTTCATTCGTGAACACCAGCTATTATATTTTTACTTGTGGCTACGCCACTCGTGAAAATATTGCATCTGGTGTTCACTCAGTGAAATTATATTTCAATCTTACATGCAAAACAAACAAATATCCTCTATATTTTCCTTAAGCATTTCAATTGTTAATAAAAGAATAGAAATTTGTAATTTGGATATTCTCATTAACTAATATTTAATGGGTGATAAAAAGAATAGAAATTTGTAATTTGGATATTCTCATTAACCAATATTTGATGGGTGATAAAAAGAATAGAAATTTGTAATTTGGATATTCTCATAACTAATATTTAATGGGTTAACTACTTTAGTCCACTGATATAGGTGATTAATGACCATTTATAATATATTCTAACATAACCCGCATTTTTCCCTATTAAAAATAGAACAACCGAAAGTGTGTGTTATTATCCAATAAAATCACTATTTGGCGTTCTATATTTAGACATGTGACGTTATCATTATACACGTGACGTAACCACTGACGCGCTGAAAATAAGTACGGAAACAAATCAGGCGCAATTTAGGTTAATTAATATCAGGTACGGCAGCATTTATTTGATGATGTCGTGTCAGAATCGAAATAATATATCCAAAACGCTTGATAACATCACTTATTGTCGTTCGGATGCGCACCATTATATCACTCGGGCTACGTCTTCGTGATATAATTCCTCACATCCGAACTCCAAACAGTGATGTTATTGAGCGATAAAATCACTGTTTTGGATATATTATTTCTTAAATACTATATAGTTTAGTCGATTAGTGACAATTTTCATGTAAAATACTATATAAACTAATTTGCAATTTAATAAACACGATATTACATTATACTTTGAACTGTTTTTATTTCGACCTGGAGATCACAAAAAAGTATATTGTTGTTAAAATGTAGAGAAAGATTAATTGTTGTATCATTGACAGGTGGTAATGTTATACCGTTGATTTACAGTTTCGGCGTTTTCTAAATCACTGCACATATTGATATCGCAAGTAATACGCTTACTACTATTCATTGTATTTCTTTGTTCTTACATATTATGCTTTAAGAAAGCAGTACGGTTGTACTATCAATTGTCGCATAAAAACTATCATGAAATGTTTTATTCCTCCAAAGTAAAGCTGGAAACCCGCCATATGACCTATACTGTGTCGACGTGACTTAAAACCCAAAGAAGCAAACAAAATTTCTATTTCTATTATATCCCCTTACTCAACGAAGGTTTAAGGGGTCAGAGGGGGGAATATATACTATAGTATTTGGTTGTCTTTAGTCTGGTGTTTTGGCCGTCTGATTGTCTTGTGATTGTGTGCGCCTCCAAACTATTTTAGTCGACCAAGATAAGTCGTTTATATTACACGTTTTGACACTTTATTCCAAGTTAATTAACATAAAATGTATCTAAAATACATTAAAAAACTGAAGTTAAAAGTAAGCAAACATGTTTTTTCTGTTTGTTTAATGAATTCACAGCTTGCATAAAGTTGGTATACATACAAACACATGACGCTAAAGAATAAGATGCGAAACGGAAGAATAAGTATAAAATACCGAATACTTACCTGATAACGATATGAATAGGAAAGAAAATTTCACATGTAAAACAATTTCAGACAATAAAATAATGACGATTTGTCATCAGAAAAATCAAAATAAAGAAACTGAAAAAAGATTGGTAAAAATTAGATGTGCTAAAATTATAATGGTGGCAAAATTTGTCGTACGCCAAAATAATATGATAAAGCGTAACGGTACTAAATATTCAGCATTTGTATGAGACTTGTCCATTATTACTTATGCGAGTAAATATTAAAGCATTTGAAATTAAAGCAAGGAAAAGGAGTTAAAAATTTGTTTTGGATAGTTTTCAATTAATATTGTCCATTAAAATATATATGATTCCATAAACAACGGAGAGTTTTTAAACCGTCCGGTATGATTAAATTCTAGTTTAAGGCTTGTCCCTTTTAAACTTCGATGTGGGTGTGGTCGGTCCATGTAGCTTTTACTAACCACTGCCGTTCATGAACAGGCTGTACCAAAACGAGCCTGCAACATTTTTAATTGTTTCGTTTTATGGATTTTAAGAAATATATTTTATGGTCACATCAATGTTGTTTGCGCTGGGATACAGTCATATTCATGTATATGATTGTTTTGATCTTTGAAGATCGTTCAGCACGACATTATTGATGAGACTATAATAAATTAGTTCTTTCTTTTTTACATATTTTGTTTGGTGCTTCCAGTGTTCGCACTTAAATACTGTTTAATGATCTTTTGGAAATATGTTGCCTGTTGCTTTAAATTTAATATGTTTGTTAACAGCTTTTCTGTGATATCCTCTTTCAAAATTCAATTTTATTTTATTCAGTTCTTCCATTGTTGTCTCGTTATGGATACAAAAAGCCCGTTTCTTGAAAATTCTACTTTTCACAAAAAAGCACAAACACCTTGAACGTTCAATGAATACATTCGTTGATGTTCATCAATTCATATTTCATCATATTCATGTTTGGATTTTGAAATTAATTAAACCCGGTTTCGTGCTGCAGTCCGTAAACAAAATCTATTTAATCGAGCATTAAATACCTATTGTTTCAATTAAAACGACATTCAATGGGTCCCTATTTTAACTTAAACTTTATAAAAATCTGCATAATTTTTACTGATATGAAGGTTCTTCTTTTATAACTAATCTATTCAAAACATGTTATTTAATCTGATCTACCAGGTCATCTATAACTTAATGTCATATAGCTTGAAAGAACGCGTCTTTTCATTTTCATGCATGATCATTGAGTTTATTGTTTATGTTTAGTGGGTTGAGCTCTTAAGACATACGTGTTTTATTATTCAAAATAATACTTAACCATATCTATATACGAAGCAAAATTCTTAAAAATTAAAATAGTTGGACCCGGCCATGACTTTGCGGATAATAGATTATGAGTATGTAATATAGTGTTATCATTTAAATAAAGAGATAGAATCATTATATTTCTAACAATATTCAGGTTTTTATCTCTTAAAAGTGAAAAGATGCCAAGAATCCGAAAACGATCTAAATCAGTTGCTGAAGTTCGGAGATATCGCAAACTTGATGAAGAGAAAACAAAACATGAACTCGAATTTTCTGTCAATTTTGAAGAGAAGCGGAACATTACAAAAACGAAAAAGAAAAAACAGTTGGTCGCTGAAAACATGTATTTAGACTCTGGTAAACATCGCGTTGAAAAAGAGATGAAAGACAAAGAGCATGATTTAAAACTTATGAAATTTGAAAACTCTAAACTCTCTGACGATTTGAAAGCGGTGAAGGAAGAACTTTCCAAACTGAAATTAAGCACTGATAATGAACGAATATCGCTATGGAACGATATAAGGAAAGGTATGACAGAAAAGGACAAAGTGAAATCAGATTTTGAAAATGAAAGAAAGGCATTAGAGAAAAAGTTGAAAATAAGTAAGGAAGAAAACGACATATTAAAATTAAAACTCGACAATGAAAGACAGAGGCTAGAAGATGTGGCACAAAGCGTAAAAATACAGTTGTCAAAACAAGCTAAAGAATTTGCCGAGGAAAAGGAAAAGATAGAAGGAGAGAAACGTCAAATGACAAAAGATTTGACAGAAGAACGAAAGGTAAATGTGCTTTTGTCGACCCATGTACGAGTAAATATAGGCTTTTAACTATTTTAGTTCCTATAATCATGCACGTATTTATATAAAGAAAGGTAGTCAAAACGTGTTGTTTTTAGAAAAGATGCAAACATGAGAATATCTTATATCTCTATAACATTCAACGAAATATATCCTATGTACATGTATATGAAACATGGTCTGTTTCAGCAAAATTGGGAAAATTTCCTGAAAGTTTCAACCATAATACAAAACAGTCGAGGTGCTATGCTCCTTAAAGGATCATTTAAACATGTCCAAATGGGCGCCTCAAATATCATATCAGATGAAGTGGCGTCTCAGTGGCAAGAGCTCATAGATAAATTATCATTATCCGTAGACGAACAAATGGCGAAAAGACAGGAGTTGGAAACAATGATAAGTAAAAATAAAGTAAGGCATTTTTGTATATCTTTACCGAATTAACAACTCCTTAATTATATATTTTTTAATACATTGTCTTATTATAAACGAGTACCTTAAGTCTTTTTAAGCGAAAATCAATTTATTTTCGACTGAAAAAAGTATACCATTCTTAATATTGGTCAAAGCCTTGTTCCTAATGGTATACTCTCGGAAGTGGGGTGTCAAGTTTGTACTTGCCAGTTTTTTCCAGTACCTGTCAAATGCCGGTGAAGAAACCAAGTTAATCTATTTCAAGATCTATCATCATCTTGCAAACACAATATGAAAGCATTGCGACGAAGAAAAGAAATGTAAACAACATAAAAATGCATTTAATTTCACTAAATGTTATTTCAATTACTTTAGTGTAGCCTGAATCATTGTCTTTCAGTATATCCACTTCATTGGGATTATGTAAGGGCATCTGCTTGACTATAGGATACAAATGCAAATTGATTTTTTACAGTTTATTTGCCGACACATTGTTGTGTATTTTTACACTTATTTAACCTAATTTAAAATGTTGTTTTGTAATCTAAATTTGATGAAATATATGCTTTGAAGATCATGCTGAAAGAGATGCAAGATTCAATAAATAAGATTGCCGATAATCTGAAAAAGAGCAGATCAAAACTGTCTAAAGAAGATAGAGAGCTATTAATCTTTTTGACTGCTGATAGATCAGACGAACATGTAATTACAGAAGGAATAAAGCAATTCAGTCAAGTCCGAAAGGACAAGAAAAATCTACCTCTTGCTGTAGATGCTATGATTGAAAGGTTGCTGAATAAACTTGGTAATAATTTACATATTCCGTTTTAGTTTTACAATGTCATAAAAGAATTTGTCTTAATATGTCACCGTTAAGAAAGAATGATGTGTAAATTCATGTGATTCTGTAGCGAAGAAGTCACGATCTAAATGACATTGATTTCCATGAAAAATGACATTAACCATTTAAAAATATGGTAGAATATACCAGAATATACCAGAAAAGTATTATCATGCTTCGTTACCTCAAAATGGGCGGGTACCATTGTTATAACATATTAAGATCCAAACTGCAACACATGGCACATTATCATTCTTGCATTCAGACAGGTATATCCGTTACTTTTACAAATGCAAGATATTTCATCTGCCATTTTGGCATGCTACGGTTTGTCGTCATTTAGCGCATTCAGAATGAAACTGTGTTGATGACACGACGTTATATAGTTGAAAGAAGTTCTAAATTCATACGCTACTGTAGATGAAATGATAGAAATTCCTTTGAAGTAAACCATTTGAGATGACGGTAGGGTATGGTGGAATATGCATGAAAAAGTATCTAATATGTATATTGGATTCAAACAGGAATATCCCTCTTGGAGTTACCCGCCTATTGTACATATATATATACACAGGCACAGGACGTCAATTTTGAAATATTTACTCTAAACATATTTGAATACAACTTTGTAACTTGACAATAATGATAATAGTATTCTGTCCAGAAGTCATTTAAAGTTGGGTTAGCAGCTAAATGGTGTTTAGATTTCAGGAAATAAAACCCGTAAAAGTTTCTATTTCAGGCAGCATCACATGCGGTAAATTTGTCCAAATTCTTGAAGGAAGAAAACACACACTAAACAAGGAAATGGTACCAGATGATACTGACCAAACTGAAGTTAAGCAATTTTCTATAAAGTCGGAGCCTGAGAATCCTTTGCAACAGTTTGATAACGATATCCCTCTCGACAAATGCCTCTGTGTAGAAATTCTTTCAAATTGGCTAAATTTTTCGGATGAAAACGACCATTTAAACTTACTTGGAAAATTAAAAGCTTACGAATCCAAGCTTTCAGCAGGCAAGTGTCCTATAACTATTTACATAAAACATTTAGTCAGTTTATTCAATATAACAATGAATGATAGCTATTTGAAAACAAAAACAACAACAAAAAACATAATCTATAGGCATATCTTGTTAATAAGATATAAAGCTAAAGAGTAATAGTTGCTCAAGGCTTCCTTTATAATCTAAGATGTCTTTATAAGAATCTCATTTCATTTCAGAATTAATTATAAAATACGAAAACGAATTTAGAAGTATAAATGTTTCAAGTGACATAAAGGAATACAATCGCCGGCAGAAAATAAAAGCCAACATGAAGGATTTGACAGACCACCACCAGGTCTGCCTGATGCCCTTTCACAGTTTATGCATCAACTAGAGGGTCTAAAAATAGTACTTGATATTGATAAAAAAGTGGACGAAATTTTGAAAAAAATGGCTGATTGATCTCACCCATATCAAAGTTTGCTCCAATAGCACATTTGTTTATTCCGACGTTTGAAAATGCTATGTAGAATATGCCATTTGGTATTAAGCATATGGAAAGAGAACTCAATAGTATGAATGCAGGCATAAGATAAGAGAACGGTTACTATTTAAAAAAAATAAAATCTTTAGTTTGTATCAAGTGTGCATTATTTTGTTTGTCAATGAATAAAAAGCTATAGTTACGTTGTAAATAACAATAAAAAGCAATGTACTGAGTGAAATATAAAAAAAAGAATCTATTGGCTATTTCTGCAGAAAATGTGTTATGTTTACTCGTATTTGAATGGCCAGAGCGAGCAATATGAAAATGATAACCAAGGAGCAGTCTAACGAAATAGTAAACGGTTGTTGGGTATCCCCCCACAACTACTTATCAATACAATTCTGAATTTGCTCATTTCAAAAAATATTTTAATAAGCTGTACAAAATAGATATTTAACAACAAAAAGAATTGTTATTATCAGAATGGATACCAACTTATGAATATAACTTTGTATTTGTCCCGTTTTTAACGCATTTGCTGTATTATTAAATAAAAAGTTAAACTTTAAAACATTTTGATAATTTTGTTTCTCATTTTCTGATGGAATTAAGTATATCTGTTATACCTATCTATTTGCTTGCATTGATTTAAGTATAACCGTAAAAATACGAAAATCTTTCGACTTTCCTTTTAATGCAATTGCGGGATTTAGCGTATCTCATGTATTTTTATGTATTTTTTTGTACTTTCTGATAAGATTTATTGAGATTATGATAATCTATCTTTTTTGCACGTTGTCGCAAAAATACATTCACATGTTTTGAATGACTAATGGTAAACGACATTAAATTATACAAAAACATTTCAATTGTTGTGTCATTTTATAGAATGTAAAAAAGTTTGAATTTAAAAGGCAATTGATGGAACTGTAAAATAGCTTCCTCCTTAGCTTATATAAGTACACCATTTAAAATAAAGTTTATATAAAGAAAATCTATGATACAGATCAAGACAAATAGGCAAAGAAGAACGCATTTTTTTTAAATGTAAAAAGGCCCCCCCCCCCCAAAAAAAAAAAAGCCCAATAAAACCCCAAAACAAGCACCCCCTAAAAAAAGAACAAGCAAACAAACAAAAAAACAAAAAAACAAAAACAAAAAAATAAACAACAAAAAAACAACAACAACAAATAAACAAACAATGTAAGTATTTTTCTGTTGTGAAAAAACTTTGTTCCAATTTAAAACAAGAAATATTATCTCGTTTTAATACAATTGTGTCATGAACGACTTTCTTATCAATAAGGCTTGTCTCACGAGTAATTTACCTCAAGTGAACTTAATCATTAGAAGTGGAACTGGTATGTATAATTTTGTTAATTTGTATATTCAAATGTTATATACAATTAATGTGGATTGGTCTACAATAGGCATATTGTCCATAAATATTAAAAAATGATATGAGCCGCGTCACGCCAAAACCAACATAATGCGTTTGCGACCAGCGTGGATCCAGACCAGCCTGCGCATCCGCACAGTCTGATCAGGATCCATGATGTTCGCTTACAAACCCTATTACATGTAGAGAAACTGATAGCGAACAGCATGGATCCTGATCAGACTGCGCGGATGCGCAGGCAGGTCTGGAGGCATGCTGGTCGCTAACGTATTACGATGGTTTTGTCGTGACGCGGCTCATATCAATATTCAAAACGTATCATTTGGATATTCATATAAACTTTTTCTTGAAAAGAAAGTATTGATCAGTTTTAAGGGATTTATTAAGGAAAATTTGTATAATGAATAATTATATTTTGAACTAAAACACAATAATTATCTGATATATAAACACAATTACGTAATATCGGATCATGTATCTCACACTTGTCAACAACATCCATATATAAATAATTTGTGGCTTGATGTTATATCTCATACGAAATATTATCTACGTAAATTTCCATTGTATTATATTTTAATACAAACCTTCCATTATTGACCAATTTACTTTAATATTACGATAAAATTTACGATTATTGTTGAAACAATTATTACCTTGTTGTGATGCGTTATGGATACTATCTCATTTTTCATTAACTTATTCAAAAACGTCAAAACTAATATGTTATCTAGTTAGGATCCTGGGGGTAAATTTTGAAAATATATTCAAGGTCTTCTTTACTACAAAGCATTGGAGATCTAACTTTTTTCTCATTTTAGCAGGTTGTATAGGTATAGATTACTATATCTCTTTGATATTTTATTGATGTAAATAGATATCATGTTTTACAAAAATTACTAATTGACATCATTATTTGTTGGTAATTAGACTACATAATGGAACTCTTTTATAAGGTGTTTTATACAATCATTTATAGTTTCTGACTGAAAATTTTTAAAATTCTATATTTAAACCAGAGTAATAAAACCTGGAGAAAAGACCTTTATAGTGTATCCCAATTCTTCGTTTATTCCACTGTTGTTAAGGGAAAATATGCAAACAATTTTGCATTATTTTCAATGTCTACTCACGTTGTTTTGCTCTTTTTTATGTATATATTCAGTATTGAGTGAAATAAGATTGTCGTTACAGAAACTTTGTTACAGCTTGAATAAAAGAAATATAATTTGCCAACTGGTTTTTCTTTTTTTTAAGCTAAGCCACTATTCATTATGATCACAGAACTTTCATTATTTATCTTGCTCAAATAACGTTAGCATATAAGAGATAAAGAAAACACACAGCAACCTCAATGTAAATAATTTCGTTGATCTAAAGAAAAAAACATCTTGTATTATACTAGTAACTCTTGTGGAAATGATATCGTGTTTGCATTTGACATAGCATTTTTTTCTGCATTCTAAATCATGGTTATCACCCATTTAAATAATTTGGCCTTTCCGGTCTTAATAACAGTTTTTTTTTCATAAAATTAACTGTATTTGTAGTTTAGCTTCATTTTCTGTTTGTTGTATATGTTCTATGCTATGATGTTCGACAGTAGTTTTTTTATCCTGACCAACATTACACATTAATATACATATATAAATCTTTTTTTGTAAAAAAAAATCCAGACGACGACTCGAGGTGTTTTACCCCAATACAAAATGAGCTAATATCATAAACGTTTAGGTCACCTTACCGTATGCCCGTAGTGTGTTTTGCTGTATACCACTTCGTCCAATAAAGTATTGACTTGTATCTCCAGAACTTACAGTGTGAGACTGAAATACGCCTTGATGTAAGCGACCTAAGATTAACGCACATGTTTTGTGTTTCCCTGCTTTAAACCCCAAGGCGTGCGGGAGACTTAAATTGAACCCGAACTTTTCGCGTTCTGCCGTGTCAGTGTGGTTGTTTTGGAGATTTGTCCAAAATGCATTGTGAGAATTATCCGCATGACATTTCTTATAAGAAGGGTTTAAAAATCCCAAAGTCTAATCCCAAGCTGGACTAGGGACTGGTGTTCTGGTTTCACGTGAATTTTGCGCAAACTTTTATTTCTAAACACTATATTTTTTTCCAGGTAAAGAAGATGGAGATTAGGATATTAATGTTGATGACTGTAATTACAGTATGTGTTATCCCGAAAGGTATAGCGTTTATATACAGTTACAAGGGAAACTTATAGTAAATACCATAATTGTGTTTTTTATTATTTAGTTGTTCATTTTTTTCAAAATCTTTTGTTTAATTTTTTGTAATTTGATAATGTACTAATATGGTTTTTAACTTTTATAGAATATTTGTATGATATGAAAACATATAAGGGACAAGCCGTTTTTTTCCACGAGCAAGATATTTTTCATTCATTTCTCAGTTGTTTGATTATTTTTTGAAAGAAATGGCCCGATGGTGTTTTAATAAACCTATAGCTTCTAATCCAATTTGACTAAAGAATTCTGTAGAACGTAACATATGTTTAAAAGGAAATTACTTCTCGATGCGCATAACACTTTAACTATTATTGTCTGCTGACAATGTGCTACTAAAGCTAGTGTACTTTAAGTCGCTTCAGATTAGATTGACTCAGATTGGCAGGACGTAGTTTTTTTTTCTTCAGCCTTTATTAAAACCCTTAAATGTGACTGACAATATTCATGTCCTTTCGGAATTGTTTTCAATTTTGAATATACATGTATGTCTTGTAGAAAAGGATGTTTATGTAATTCTCGAACAAAATGTTTTTGAAAATATATATTTAATCAAATGTTGAAATAAATAAATGAAAGTTAGCACGATGTAGATAACTGTTTGAGACTTTAGCAGTTGTGGAGTTGGTCCTAAGCTTGATGATTTTCTTGACATACTTTAACACCTATATCTATTACTTTTGATATGAAACTAAACTTTGTATGACCGTATAAAGAAGTAGGCCTCTCAAAATTTATCATACTTACGATTCATTTACTTACTTGGTTTATATTATTATGACCCTTTCACGAATGTGCACGTAAACATTTTACAAATTTCAAATTTACTTACTTATTTTTATTTCATTGCATTCTATGTATCAGATCCTGTTAAAATATTGCCTACGTCTCCTTATATGACAACAGGAGTGGTAAACATTAAAACGTCAAAGAACTTACTAAAATAGTTTTCACAATCTTGCCTTAATAGACATGCATCGCTTTATATGACAATAAAACTATTTGGGCGCATTCTTCTTAAATTTCAAGCCAGCACATTGACGTGTTTACAGTGCAACAACGTGCCACAGCCAAGACATTGCAATGCTGTAACCGAATGCGACAAGGATGAGGTGAGACTAACATAAGAGGTTGCAATATGATGCTCATGAACTGAATCCCTGTTCTTTTTTGTATTTTCATTTTTGCAGGTCCTTCTTCTTAAGAAGTAAACATTTTATACAACTTAGGCCTGTGCTAGGGCGTGGGTGTTTGCGATTTTAAGTTTTTCAATTGCTACGGAGTAATCGAATTTCTCCTTTTAAAATACAACCCTATAATATTGAGGAGACATTGTTGTATTGATATAAAAGTAAAACGAGTAATTTAACTTAAGAAAACTCCGTTAGTATTTATCAGGAGATTTATTTCTTTTTTTCTTTTGATTTGCGGTGCAGCACTAAAATGACTTAAAACAGGATATGAATTTGTGCCATTATATAATTGTCAAAACAAACTGTTATGATGATTAGAAAATACATTTTTGGCTCAGAAGCAAACTTTGAATAAGATTTTTCACGTTCCCAATATTGCGAAAATATATCATGGTTTTAAATTGAAATTTAGTACTTGATAACAAGATAATTTGTTACAATGTAAACGAATACGTTATTTAGATCAATTTGATAGCTTAAGAAATAGTTCTTATTGGGAATAAGCAAAGCGATTCTACAGAAATTACTTTTACTTCTTTCCATTTTACAGCCACCATGCTTTTTCTTGCCTGTGAACTTATTGAACTCAATTTATTACTTTTAGACATGTGGGATTGAGGAAATAAGTAATGAATTTGGTGAAAAATTGTTCAATGTCGGATGCATGAAAAGAATGGTAAGCATTGCATGGTAGATACATGAGATACATAACTTATATAAAATCATTCATAAATATTTTTGTATTTAATTATATTTAACAGAAATATTTCATTTGTTTATATTTAATAGAATAGAGATTATCCCAAAATGTACTTTTTGAATATAGTTCACTTGTTAAATATGTTGTTGAATAAATATGTTTAAGCCAATAGAATAGAGTAAAGCGTTTATTGACATTTGTTTACAAACTTTTGGAGATTCTTTGGACAGTTAAGCTTCTTTAGGCCATTTAAAGCAACTGATATATTGGATATAAACACCTGAATAACGAACACTGTTTTGTTTATGATTCCTCACTTTGAAACGCCGATTTACATTCAATCTTGAGGTTAACTGTATGAATGTATTTTCTAATATTTTATTAAAAGACGATTTCTCAGTATTTATTATTCGTTATATAGACTTTTACGGTTTTACGGACGCGTATACTGTTTTCACGGTTTTAGCTATAACACTCACCCCACAATCAGTATAACATTTCAACGCTGAACAGGATTTACACAAAATTTGAGTCAAGCTTTGTTTTATATACATTTGTATTTATGAATTTTTTCCTTTATATAGGATAAAATGTTTTATTAGAAGTTGTAGCCTATCCGAATTCATAGACAGAAAAATATTAAAATTGTATAGGTTTTTAATTTTTAAGAACATTAGAGTTCGTGTTAAGATGTTTTTTTATTTCATCAAGAAAAAGATTTAGACTTATTTGAGCATCATAGAAAAGATGGTGCTTATCATTTATGAAATGTTTGTTTCATTTTTTGGCAAATATTTTCCATATAATTTTTCAGCAAGTGATATTTCTTTATCTCATTTTCCTTAAACACGAAATTGTCAAAATTATTTTATATAGTCAATTAAGTTAAAAAAAGTGTCAGACAATATTTCTTAGGGCATGACAACCAAACCGTGTTATCAGAATTACTCGAAATTTATTGTCTTAGAATACATATTTTAAGTTTTGGCAAAATTTTAGAAATGCCAGGGGGCCAACTCGACACAGCACTGTATACAATGTTGTTCAACTGACGTATGCAATCATGAAGGGTGCGGAGAAATAGGTATATAATACATGTTTTATAATAAAATTTTGTCAGAACATTCGTTTCTTTAGAAAAGAGGAGAAATGTTAAATTTCATTCTGTTGTGAAACATAGTTAATAGCATGAGATTGTCGTACGGAAGAAAGAAGAAAATTCGATTTGAATGAAAAAAATCGTATCTCTTTTTTTATTGTCATTTCATTACCAATGTACATTTAGAAGATACGATTGTCTTCTTATCTTTTATTTTGAAACATTATATATAGCTTATCATTTGTTATTAAATTTTGAACTTTTCGATAAAGATAATAATTTTTATGCAATTTAGTTTATTATTGTAAGTGATGACGTCATTTGAAATAATTAAAGTAGATAAAAATCACTTTGATAGCAGTTTTTATCTCAGTAAGTATGTCTTAATGTCACTTAAAGCAGCATTCATAAGATACTTGTTAACTTTTAAACGTGAAAGTTTAGACGAAAATGTTAAATGTACTGCAACGAAAGTCATTTGACTAAGTCCAAAGCCCTTACCATCCTCAAAATTTGTTTTAAAACGTGCTGCAAAAGTAGCCCTTACTCCGCGTGTAATGGTGAAAAAATGTATTAAAAATATTTAAATCAGTTATATTTTGCATCAACTTGCCACGTATTACGTTCTGTAACATTGCTGAAAACAGTTTTTGTCCATCTTGGTATATCATTAAAATACATGCTGAATTCCCACTTTGTTACAACAAGAACGAACAGAATGTCATTTGAATCTGACTATTTCTAGTATTTTTGACTTATTTTATCAGGTTATCCAAGACATCGAGGGCCAATTTGTTACTATTGTCCCGTGCATACACAATCGAAAGCATGTCATTTCGTAGATATTTGTCGAGCAGGAGAGGTATGTGGTTTCTATTTTATTCGAATTAACTAATTTATGTCGATATGCAATATTTTATAAAAAAATGGCTTGAAGAATATTTGCCTTAATTTCTTTTTTGATGTTTAGGATACCAACACTGTTAACTCTTTAAATAAGATTAAAGTGTTTCATGTTGGTTTCCGAAACATTTGATTCCAGTATAATTCTCACTCACTCAAACCCAACCAGCCAAAGCCCGACCGCCCGGTCGCTCACTCACTCACTCACTTAATATAAAAGTTTTTACGTCCAGCATGATAAAAGATTTGAATCAGAACAAGTTTAGTATGGTACATTTTTTAAAACTTTATTCGTATTATTCATTCACAAACAGGTTTGTAAATTTGATTCTCGTCGTGAATTTGATGACATGCTGTTCTCAAGTGGTTGCTCAGATGCTCATGTAAGTTATTTTTGTACATGAAAATACATATATATAGCTGATACGTGATATAATGCTCGTAAAAGGTTGTATGCATGCTCTTTGCAATATAACTTTACACAAAGCGATACAATACACTAAGAATTAACACCCATGTTAATGTCATATTTCATCGCAAATGACCTTCTATAGTAATCCACCATAATGTATTCGCGGTGAAAGACAAATGACCATAAGACTCCATGTCCGAGAGTTATTGTCAGAGAGAACATTCGGTGCTTCGTCCAAGTGAACTCTGGATTACAAATCCGATGGTGTCTATTTAGCTATGTGTCAGGACATCCTACAAAATTGAAAAAATTTCCTTAATTTTTGTTATGTTTTAGCCAGTATATAAAGTAATACGTGTAATATACTCGTTGGTTAAAACATATTTTTATTCATGTTGATAATTTACATATTAAAGCAGATCACATTGATGACACCAGCTTGAGTAACACATTGGAAATATTTGGCAAATATATAAGGATTTTTATGAGTTTGTTTTATTTCAAAAGAAGTTGATCGGTTTTCAGGGAAAACCTTATCGGCATGCATGATTGTTGTTTTGAAAGATATGTTTTTAAAATTTACACGTCTATCAAAATTTTATCCGTATCCATCAACATTTTATTTATGTGTGCGCTTGTTTAAGATAAGTAATAAATGTTTATTTCATATATGTTTGTGACAGCAAAGCAGCAGTTTAATAAACACTTGACTTTTATGACATCCATGATCCAATCCATTTTTCGAAAATGATGTTAATACGAGTCGTAAATTTGCTGCTATAAATCTGTTTTTCTTTCTATGTTTCAAAGGCTTGTAAACAAGGTGCACCACTGCAACCATCAATAGTTGGTCGAGACATTGATGACAACAAGTATCGGGCAATCAGGAAACAACATCGATCTCTCATTGAACATGTCTGTCGGAGCTGCTGTGAATCAGATCTTTGTAACAACATGTGTAATGGAAGTATCTCAGCAGGTACATGTAAATAAGGTTTTGTCTAAGTTTGTTTAGCTTTTAAACATCACTTTTTAATTGCTAAATCACCTAAACACGTAATAGTTGATTCACATTGCACAACACTCGATTTTTAAACAGTGTGAATGCAAAACTTGTCACAAAGACATCTTTGTTGCATATGTTATCATATAAAGGATTCAGTGGCAAACATTGTAAAAATTGTAAGTGTATTCCTGTTGTTTTTTTTAATTCAATTTGTTTTGTGATAACACTTCAGCTCCTTATTATATGTTTAAATATTTTCTTTCTTTTTTAATTAGTTTCAAAGCGTCTTTTTTTACTTTTGATGTATGGTAAATGAACATTGTCATTGCTCATTATTGTAAATTTACATATTTGCATGAATCATTTCAAAATGACTTTAAAGCATTAAAGCTACTCTATTTCTAACAGGTGAAATGTATAAAGGTTTCCATAATTTTATCATATCATTGTTATTATCTTATACATGAATAAGGACACGAATCTACCTGCTGGTTTTCCAATCTGCTTACTAGTTGTTTAAGACAAACTAGTGTGAAAAATTACCAGGACATATATAACAAACTATAAACCAAACTACAACATGTATTCTTTTTATACTCGTCTGCTGAAATGCATATCCAATGATACTTTTCAAGTTAAATGATAAAAAACTGAGGGTAATCTTAATTATTGGCACATTGTAAGGTTGATTGTGTGAGATGTTGAAGCTTGACAATCTCCGCGATGGACAGACACGCTTTAACCACTAGATGCCATTTCTGATTGTTGACATGCTCTCGTTTCAAATTTATGATATTAAACATTTTCAACTTTTCCAGCAACCAGTCAATGTGTATCGAACCCATGCCACCATGGGCAATGTTATGATGTGTCAAATGGTTTTGTTTGTGTTTGTAACCATGGTTACGAAGGGAGGCAATGTGATAAATGTAAGTACATGTAATTTGCGATTAAGATATCAGAAATAAGGGAAATTATGATCTTTGATATGTGTCACAAAAATGTTCATGGCTTTTCATTTCCAACTCTAACATGTTTTATGATTAATATTGTATGTAGAATACGTTTTTGTCTTAAATGGCGCTGCAGAAAAGCAGAAATTTGCCAAGTAAAGTTACTCTTGGTTCATGTGGCAGAAAATAATGAGAATGATATTTATATGTGAAAATCTTCATCGTCAGCGTTTTCGAACTTTTACCGGTATTTCATATTAAAAACAGCGGCATTTATATTAAGAATAATTCGGGTTTTCCCCCCTCAACATTTGCATGAGCAATACTTTGACAAACTGAAGGCCACATGGAGACTTGAAGTCAGCATTATCAATGTTTCACACATGTTTATGTTTAAATTCATTTTTAATAAATATGGACTTTTTATTTATAAACGAGTTGCCACAAAATAGTCACTGTCCTGTTGAAAGATCTTGCCATCCAAAGGCTTCTTCTAAATACTTTGCGACCGATCCTCATATTCGTACTTATTTTATAAATGTGGTGTCTTTTTCTTTTTAAGTGATATTGCCATGTGCATCAAACCCCTGCATGCGTGGAAATTGCACGAACAATAATGACAGATACACGTGTCAATGTCCTCAAGATTACAGGGGCACAAAGTGTGAATTTAGTAAGTAAACCCTCCTTGTATTTGGTTTTCATATCATCATTTTTTCCATCTAATATAAAATCTAAAATCTAAAATATATTATCATGATATGTTCATGTGTTCATAGTATAACCCTCTTTTACTTCAGGTAAAATGAAAATCTATCCATTTGTTTGAAGTTGTATTATCGGTTTGAAACCTTTATTGACGCAAAAAGTGATATTTTAACATTTATATGTTTTGTCAAGTAGTTGTATTTATACTTCCTGTAGCAAAAGTGCTGTCTAAGAATAGAATAAGTATAAACATGGTCAATGAATAACCAAAAAAAAAAAAAAAAAAAAAAAAAAAAAAATAAATAAAAATAAAAAAAATATCAATTAAAATAGAAAGAGAAAAGATTTTTTCACTTGACATGGAGATATTTACCATTGCAAATAAATAAAAAAATCGAAAACATTATATTTCTATACCACAATAATTATACTTGGAACATAAAAAGTAAGAACTGAACCTAATCAGGAGGAATAATGTAGGAAAATAGGAAAAAGTATGAACAATTTGGAGAAAATAGACAAATAGGCTTGGTAGTCTGTGTAATCTTTCTGGGTTATCTATCAAATAATCCTCGTTTCTTTCTAATTAAAATCTATGACATTGTTGACTTGCAGTTTCTTCTTAAACAGATTCAACAGAAGCTTTTGTAGAGATATAAGGCTTTTGAAGATTTCATATGTTTTGTTGCCATATGCTTCAAGATATATAAGAATTAATTTGCATCAATGGTTCAATAAGGGTATCCTGTAGTGGTAAACACATTAGTTTTACTCTAATACTGGTAACAGGTTACTTGGGTTACAAAACCCTCTTTAAAAAGTCTGATAATGAACGGATCTTGCTTAACTGGACATTTCTCTAAAGATTTTTTAGTCTACATACGCAGTTTTCTATTGCAAGCTGTTACTGTGGTTTAAACCCTACTGAATGTTTTTATGTATAAATGTTTCTCCAGCGTCTCAAGCATAGTTCTTTTATTCTTGTTCTGTCATTTGTCTTTGAAGAAATATTGCCATGTGAATTAAACCCCTGCATGCGTGGAAACTGCACGAACGAAAATAACGGATACACGTGTCAATGTCCTCAATATTACACGGGCAGAAACTGTGAAACTAGTGAGTAAAATTTTGATCCAAGATCATTTTTTTATCGTTTATCTTTACATATAATCCTTTTAATCTGAAAATGTTAGAAAAAGAGTGTAACCACAACGTTTTCATGGTTTAACAGTATCTCAATGATAAACTTATTTTATTTTTGTTTGGTTAAGTTAAATAATAAGTATTTTTGAAGTGACACATATCTTTGTAAGTTTTAATTGGGTGAAATAGTGATGTCTTGACATGGAGATATTTACAATGCAATTTTATTCAAAATTCATTTAAAATACTTTATTCTAGTACCATGAATATTTGGATCATAAAAAGTAAGAACTGAACCTAATTAGGAGGAATAATGTAGGGAAAAGTATGAACAATTAAAAAAAGTAGGAGAAAGTAGAAAAAATAAAATGTAGGTTTGACAGTCTTGGTTAACTGTCTTCAATCCGTCTGAAATAGTCCTCGATTTTTTGAAGAAAATGATTTTCTATCTTTGAAATACATACGGGGTTACTTCTGTCCTTTTGAAATCTATGATGAATGGATTTTTGTGTGTCTTTTTCACTAGACTTTTCTTCTTTTACAAACAAATTCAACAAAAGCTTTTATAGAGATATTAGACATAAAAACTATTTTAATTATAACATGTTTTGTTGTCATGCGCTATGAAGCCATTAAATTTCGAAAAGAGACTTGGTTTAAATTTATGAACTTAACGCTGGAAAAGGCTCTGTTCTCTTGAAATCATATGTCAATTGAAAGTTTTAGCATAACAAAATGAAAGAACAATTGATTTGTTTGAATCTTGTTTCTGTTACTCTTACTCACAAATGGTATTCCATTAGACTAAAAATACACCTTCTACAAGAACGAAAACATCCATTTTCCCACATGCCTGAAAGTTGTGAGCACTTTTTGAAAATATGAAAAACAGATTTTAAAGTGACATTTAAAGTGTGATTTTCATCAATAGTTTAATAAAGGTAACACTTTGTTCACTTTCATACAGAATAGTAACGTGGGTAACATACTCCTCTTTTTAAAGTCTAACAATGCACGGAAGTATATATTTTTGGTCTATATAATCAGTGATATAGTTGCTCTCGTGGTTTAAATCCTACTGAATATTTTAAGTATTGTTTTATGTACGAATGTTCCCCCAAAATGTTCCCCCAAAGTCTTATGCAAAGTTATTTTTTTGTTCTGTCATTTGTCTTTGAAGAAATATTGCCATGTGAATCAAATCCCTGCATGAGTGGAAACTGTACAAACGAAAATAACGTTTATTAAGCAGTACACTATTGAAAGCTGCTCAAGTGGTATTAACCCTACTGAATTTTCCAAATACTGTTTTATGTATAAGTAATTGTCCAACGTCGCACAAATAGTTATTTTATTTGTCATTTGTCTTTGAAGAAATATTGCCATGTGAATCAAATCCCTGCATGCGTGGAAACTGCACAAACAAAAATGACGGATACACGTGTCAATGTCCTCAGGATTACACGGGCACAAACTGTGAAACTAGTGAGTAAAATTTTTATCCAAGATCATCTTATATCTATAATCTTGTCATCATATCAGTTTTAATTTAGTGAAAGTTATGTCTTTAACCTAAGAACCTATTTACGTTTAATCTAATAGCTATGTTTCTACTATGGTGATGTAGGTATATTCTTGAATGATGACTGCATTCTTAGAAATGTATTTTTTTGTCATTGAATATGCAATCATTCTATAGCTTACGTGATTAGGTAACACATATATGGTAAAATCTAAATAAGGCAATAAATAACAGAACAGAAAAAATAATTATGTCATTAATGTCAAAATGTTTTGTCTGTTACACACTTTTTGTATCATATTCTAGGGTTGCTGAGTGATTGTTATGATCTACTAAATATTGACCATGCTAATGTAAGCGGCGTCTATTATATAAAACTGTGGCAATCACATACAACTATACAAGTTTATTGTGACATGGACACAGATGGTGGGGGATGGACTGTAAGTGTTACTTTATATCTTATGATAAGATGTAACTACCGCCAAATTAAAAAAAATTGTAAGGCTAAAGTAACAGACAAATACGTATAGCTTTAGATTAGACATTTATATTTATCAGAGAGATTGATTGTAGTCATGTCATATGTTTAGAAACTGATTAGAAAATAGAATTTTGATTCCTGTTTAATGCGTTGAGTTTAATGAATACAGTAAAGAAGAAGCATAAGCGGTAAAAATATTGATATAGTTCATGACGTCACAGATAACATCATACATTCACTCACATCTGAGACATACTGTATACCACACAAACTTTGATAATTAGTGATAATCAACCCCCACTTCAATGTCTAAGGAAATAACTCTGTTAAGAATGTTGACCAAACTATACCATTTTTTACTTCGATGGAATTTCGGTTAACTTTTATACTACTTCATATATTTTCATTATTATCATGCTAGCACAAAATGACTTATTGGTTAAACGTTTATGTTGTTATGATTATAGAGAAACAATATTTCTCCATTCAAAAGGTTTTTCAAAGGCGATTCAACGGAAGCGTAGATTTCTATAAATCATTTTATGAGTACGAGAATGGCTTTGGTAGTTTAGATGGAGAATTTTGGCTAGGTATTTATATCGTGATATCAAAGAATATAATATCTTACAAAGCAAAAATATGAAATTACAGGTATGATAGATATAGATAGCGTTGGCATCGTACTATTAATACAATGAGTGCTGGCCGCATGGTTTAAAACACAAAATCGTAGAAATAGAATAGACATGCTTAATAAATAATACTACTCAGTCCGATGGTTAATAATAATAATAATAATAATAACAACGATAATAATACTGATAAGGATAATGATGATAATAATAATAATAATAAAACAAATAATAATAAAACAAATAAACAAAAGTTAAAATAAATGTTATATAATAGCGTGAATATGTCTAAGATTATTGCGATACACAACGAAAATTTTAAGATGTGAATACAGGTTTGTCTTACTTTTCTATTTAGGACTTGCTTATGTTCAAGAAATGGCGTCACAAGGACAATCAGAATTAAGACTTGACTTAAAAGCAGCAGATGACAGTACTGCATATGAAACATACCAGAATTTCAAGTCTAGGAGTCTCGCCAACCTATACCCTTCATATAGATCACGGCGTTGGAACAGCAGGTAACAAACATACATAATTTTGTTAATTTGTTTGATAGTTATATAGTTAGATCATTTGTTTATATAAAGTGACAATATTCTCATTTATTTCGCTGTCATGTTGAGTTGAACTAGTTATGAATTTCAAAACATTGACTACTAGTATTATAATGGTAATTGACCAATAACTGATTATGAAAAATTTTAATAATATAATATAAAAACTACCTAAATAATTAAAAGATTTTCTCACTCTTAAATTTTAATAAGAATTGAACGTTACCGATATATTTTGAATGATGTTTAAAAAAAAATTCCGTTGGCCATGTAATGTATTGATTTTGTTCAAAAAGTAAACTATAAAATAGATTGATGCCAAGTATTTTTATTTTTACCAGTCCATTTACGCTTGGTTATGCATAAATGTCACTTTAATGAATATATCGTTAACATTTGTTCTATTTATTGCTGCTTATTCTTATGGGGCTATACTGTGATATAAAAGTGATGAAATAGAAATCAAAAGTACATCATTCAACACGCGATAGCTCAGTATATTATGCAAAATTGTTAACGTTGTGTTGTTGTTGACTTATCATTACTTCTTGAATACATAAAATAAATTGAGTGTTTACAATTATTTAAATTTTAATTAAAACAAACAATACGATACAATGGGAAACTGAAATATAATCATTTCATTCCTACACCAGGCGACAGAAATGGAGTTTATTACAACAATGGTCACGACTTTATTACATATGACCACGACAGCTCCTATTCTTGTGCTAAGACAGATCATGGAGGTTGGTGGTATAATGGCTGTACTTTAGCGAACCTCAATGGAGAGTATGTTACGCCAGGTACAATTTCATCATACCACAGTGGCGAAGGTGGTGTGATATACCGTGAATTTCAGGAGTACAAATCGCTTAAAGAGACAAAGATGATGTTTAGAAGAGTATGATTATGTTATTAAAGCAATAAACAATACCTGTACACGTATATAACAGTTTGTCTTTGATATTCATATTGTCATCCTAAAACAATAATGGATTATTGATATTGGTCACTTTTATCCATTAATTTTCAACAACTATTGAGACAATGATATGGTACCATGCCCGTCCTACTGATTGATATTTCTTCATTATTATAAAATATTAGATTGTTTAGAAATAGTTGTAGCTTCATGTCAACTATCATATATTCAAGCATTTTGATAGATCAATGCCCTGACCTTTCATTTGGAAAAACAACAGACATAACCTCAAACTTTGACAGTAGCTCTTTTGTTAACAAGTACAATGTTGTGAAATTCTTATTGTATCAAATGAGTCTGATAATTAGATAGGTCATGGATCTATGCATTACTGACCGGGAAATTATTATAAACTATTTTAGAAAAGGAAAATCAAACAGGTTGTCAACGAAGTCATTAAGGCACTTAATCTGCTCGAACAGATTAATGAACGGACCCATAAATAAGTAGAGGGAATACCATTTTTTAAATAGTATTTATCAATTTATTCTTTTTTTGCGGGCGGGTGTTGCTTTCAAAAATATCATAAGTTAAATGGTATGTGGATGTAAGGACAAATCGATTAACTTTTTGATATATATCAGTTTGTGTGTATTTATCTTTAAGCTATTGCTTCGAGAAATTATTTCTTATTTTCAAAGATATAACATAACATTTACGTCTTATAGTATGGCGACATTTGATCTTTAGCTGGCGGGGGAGACATCAGGTACCCCTTCGTGCGTTATTTCAGGAACGAAATGGTACTTCAGTAGTACCACCGATGTTCCGTAGTTCCGTAAGTCAGATGGATAGCTTCCTTGCATGAAAGAATCCAAAGTCTGTACTGGGTTTTAACCCACTGCGGTGAGGGACATGTGCTTTGGAGTCAACGACCTTAACCACTTGGCCACGGACGCCGTTAAACATTTTCTTAAATGCTGAGTAAAATTTTAGAAAAACCATTAACACAGCAGAGTGAGTCAATAGAGTGCGGTCAACTTGGTCAACTGTGGTTAGATGCATAGATCCCTGACCTATTTTAATTCTTATTATCAGATAAGTGGATAAAATAGCAATGTCAGCACAACCTTTTTGTAAACAAAAGAGCAGATGTCAATGTTTGTGGTTATATCTATTGTTATTCAAATAAAAGGTCAAAGTAGGGATCTATCAGTTGACAAAATACACAATTAAGATGTTGAAAAGGTGTCTTCCGATGCAACGTAAAGGAAAGGCAAAGTTACTTTCAAATAATTTACTAGAAATAAATCTTAAAGCATAAAAAGTAATAAATTTTATGCAATTGAGCAATAATTATATATTGTAGTACCATAGTATGTTTTCTCTACAATCTTGCTGTGCTGTAATATATTTACTCTGATATTATATTAAAGTCCATTTACATAATGTTAACACGTGCTTTGACAGACACTTTGCATTAATTACTGAAAAGTAGTTTTTTTTATTAAATGGTTAAATAAAAATTGTTTTGCTTTACTAGACTAACGGGCAATTAGGAAACAGTTTCATATTCGCTGCTTGATTAATAGACAAACACTACTAGATAACCTAGGTACACACAATATAGAAATTCTAGTGGTCATTTTTGGATAAATTAAACATTTCTTAGATGATCAAAGGTAGATCGGAAAAACAACATCTACAAAGACTGGAAAAATTCACAAAGATGTTATCCGGGATAAACCATTTATACTGTTAGAATAGCTGATTTGACTTTTTAGTCAATCAGACTTTATAGTGTAGGAAATGAACTAGTAAATCATGCATATTTTGGGGGTCAACTAGTCCATGTCTAGGAACAATAAGTTTTATATACCAAAATGTTCACAAGGGTTCGCAAAATACGAAACGGTATTTCATTTTAACACAAATGGTCGGACAATCAAGAAATCCATGATAGCCGCCAAAATTCCGCAAAAACAGTAATTATCATTATTTGGCCAATGTTTTCATCTTGGATGCCATCTTGGATTTCTTGATTTTCCGACCATTCTGGTAGGGTCCTACTAACCGGTCCTCGTTTCCTACACTATTAGTCATAGTCATATGACCTATTTTTCATTCAGAGTTTGGCCTTAACTCTGTATGTGTGTGTGTGTGTGGGGGGGGGGGGGTCAAATATGAATTGTGTGAATAATGCCGATGTAGTGACATATGCTCATTTAATAAATTAATGCCGGAATAATGAGTAGTATACAAATAAAAATGCCGATGTAGTGAGTGTTGCTCAATATATAAATTAATGCCGATGTAGTGATAAGTGTCAAATTAACAATGCCGAGTTGTGCAAAATGCCCATAAACTAAATTAATGCCGAAAAAAATCAGATCATGTTTATGACTGAAAATCTTATATGTCAATAACCCATTTAAGTGACTTTTGGTTGTTACTGAAACGAATGAAGATTTTTTGTTTTTGTAATAAACCAAGGTTCTTTGCCAAAACTCTTTATTGTGTTGCAGTGTATGATGTTAGGTCGGAAACAATGCAGGTTTTGCAACTTTGTGCGTACGTGTGGCATTTGTGTAAACTACCAAAATGTCATACAGGCGTATTTCTTTGAAAACACATTGATATATTGAGTTTCACAATAATTCTTAAATGATAATTCATATAACCTTACTTTTTTATTTCAAGATAAAAGAAGTGAGTGTACGCAGCGTTATTGGCAGGTTATAAGCAAAATAGACAAGAACTGTACGTTTCATCTTGGTATCATCAAGCTATCGTTTTATGAAGTAGAAATTGTAGGAGACGTTTTGTTTTGCTCCTTTAGCAGCTTATTTAATAATAATATATACAATACCGTATATCAGGTAATTTTTGCGTAAGGCAAATTTCGCGATTTTGACAGTAATTTATATTTAGCCAGAGATTTATTGTTTTTACAGTAAAATTTCGATTTCATATTTTTTATTGAGGTATTGCTTACAAGTATGGATTCAATATTTCACACTTATTGCCTCGTCCCACCTTTTTGTTGACAGCTGCCTTAAGTGTGTATGTAAACCTTCTTGCAAGAATTATCTTATTATAGTGGACAATCGGTTAAGTAAGCGTAAACAAAAATACCTGTTTGCTAACTGTGACACTTAAAGGAGTTAAAAAAAACCCTACAAAACCTTTAATTCTAAACAACCATGAAAATCCAAAATTGATATTTGATAAATTGATTTGTAGGTATCACTATGTAAGATATATACGACTAAACTGAGGAGTCAATCCAGAAAGATCTAGAAACTTGCGAAATCACCGTATTAATTTGAAGGGAAATTTAGCAAATCCATTTTTCGCCATATTCATTGCACGCAAATACAAATGTATAGCAAAAATGAGATACTCACGAAAAAAAAACCTGATATACGTTATTTGGGTGAGTTAAATAACAGAGACATTTTTAGGGAATCGAACCAAAAATTCTGGAAACAGCATTGATGGTAATATTTTATTATTTAAAGCTTTTAGATTCATGCAAATTTTTACGAACATTTTGAGAATGTATTTAAAAGTAGTGAACAAAAAATATTTACCCATTGCAAATTCAAGTAAATTTCTTAAAAGTGGTGTAAATATGCAGAAAAGTCCTTTCTGCGTTAGTCATGCAGTAGAAATATTGTAATAAATACATGTACTGCAAACTCATTAACGTTTAGAATATTACCTGAATCATTTTAATTTAACTGAAAATTTTATTACATTTTTCTCAAGTCAGTATTTTCTTGCAATATTTTGTCTCATCTGGAGGCATGCAGTTTACATATCAACAGGCAAAAGACAATTCAACATAATCCAGTTCGTACACCAAGAAACTCTAACAATATCCGTCTTATTACTTTTCTCTTCACTGTTACAAAATGTAATATAAATAACTCTTACAGTGTCCCTCTTATTACTAACCGCCTCATTCTAAAAAGAAACTCTTTTATATCATATACATCAAAGTATATTTTTAGCAATAATGGAATGACATTTCAGCAACTAATTACGGACCACAGTCTTACTCTCGCATAAATGTCAGTCATGTTTACACATGAGGAAAATAAAGCAACATTTGTTAAAGATATACTATGCTCAATTTTGATATAAGCAAATACTGATAATTGCTACATAGTCTCTTTGTTAATATAAAATATACATGTTTTAACTTCACACAACGTAGATATGTTATGTTTAAAAGAGGTGGTCACAATATGAATATAACAAAACATAAACATAATTTTTTTAGCATCAGACATTCTATACAATGTTCATAGCCAACATTAAGGAAAAATGTTGTTGTAATAAAACTGGCAGTTTCTTTTTACAAGAGACCAACATTACTTAATCTGTAATAGAGAACACAGCTTCCAATACAGAGTTTATTCATTCTTTTATTCAAATTATACATATTCAGTAAGAATTTCATAGATTTCAATACATTTCTGTGAAAAAAAATATTTTACTCAATGGAACAATTTCAAGTAGGCCTAGTTTTTGCAACGTCATGCCGAAACTGCACACCACTTGAACTTTAATTATAGAGATAATTGCTTCTGTCAGACCGTATTTACTGTTCATGATATACAATAGGCAAACTATATTAATAACCAAGGATTGACATGGTGGCATCTGAACAAAATTTGAAAAAAGAGTTACACGGACGTTTCTATCTCCAAATGTTTTCTTGCATTTTTATGCCAAAATATTAAAGTGCGCTAATTTTTAACACTATCAAGCCGTTCTTGTGAGGACACTTTAAATAGTTTTTAAATATTAAAAACCAACAATATATAAAAAAAGGTATGCAAAACTGAACCTTTGAATGCCTTATTTTAAAAAATGACAAAATGGCACTTAGAACAAAACGTGTTTTTTTTTCAGGCGAAGATATAATATTTATTTTATTATATCTTATCTTCTATCCCGGATTTTGCTATTCTGTTTTATAACATGCATCGAATATTACATAAAGTTTGAGATATTAACTTACTTTTTCAGTGAAAATCACGCAAACAATTGTTTTATGTCCCCTCTAGAAAGCTAGTACAATGCCAAGCCACTAAATAAATATGCATTACCCTATGACCTCCTCGATCCGCACCTGGAAATTGGGAACTTTGATTAATGAATTAATAAATATCACATAAAGGTGTTGAGTGGTATGTCATCTAAACATTTCAGACACATCGAAATGTCTATGTCATCTGTATATTGTACAACGCTTTTGTTTTTTTATTACATTTAATGCTCTTGCAGACGATAAACTTATTTGATCATAGGTAAATCGATTAATCAACAATCGCAACTTTTCGACAATTTCCGTCAAACATCGGATAATATATAATTATGTTAACGGTATACTATATTTGGAGTTTTTTGGTTTTACCTGAATACTATATTTAGAAAATGCGTCATTTACTTACCTGAAGGGCAAGGGCTTAAATATATGTTGTTATATTTCTTTATATCTATTAAGTACAGGGATTTACAAACCACGGAGATTTGCGTAAGTTAATCTATTTTTCCATATTTGAGTTAATGAATATAAATTCTATATATGCTATCATGCTTTCATGAGTATGTTTATATTTCCTTAAATTGCATAAACATGTAGTTGACGTGTAAATCGGCCATATTTAGAAAATCGAGTTTTTATTTTAGATATTGTTTTATAAAAAATACAACGCAAAGTCTGGCTTAGCTAACGTAATACATTCAACAAATGACTGGTATATAGATTTACAACACTTAAGAATGCTTGACCGATTTAAGTCAAGCTCTTTGTTGGACAGTCTTTGCTGAATTTTAAGTCAACGATGGTTTCCCATTACTTTATCGTCTGCTGGTGACCATTTGATCATGACATTCGTGACGTCAAATCATCGTCTGCACTGGTCACTGTTCATTCAAATCATTGTGAGATTTTCTTTTACATAAAATTCAATATTTCGAGATTGAAATATGGACAAGTCCATTTTCAGAAGGTTTTTCAGGGTTAAGTGCCGAATTTGAAAATGACCACTTTTTAGGTTTTGTGATCAACTTAAAAGTAACCCGTATAAAGGCTTGTCTGACTTCACGAACAGCACTGATTGCCCTGGCTCTCTGTTGGTGGGAAATGATTTTCATTATGACTACTAGTTAGTTATTAAATAATAATTATCAATCTGAAAAATAGTTTACCGGGTTAACAATAATTTATTGACTGCCGCAAATAAAGTTAATGCACTTCTTTTTCGTTCATTGACATATGCAGAAGCAAAAGGAAGCATTTATAGCCTGATCCCGCATGGGTAAGAGGTGGTAGGGGGTGGGGGGTACATGTCCGAGATCTTCTGCAGGTATAAATGCACATAAAATGCATCAATGCTATTCTTGAAGAAAAGTATACGGCTTTTTTCATTTTTTCAACATTCATTGTATGCTTTTCGTTGCTTATAAACAAAAACAATTTAGATTTTTTGTTCTCTTGTAACTAAAGGTAAAAACAATGAGACAAGATTATGGATAAATTTCGTGAAATTGGCGTGCAAACGACCTTTGATGAAGATGACGTCTTTGATATTTCACCAACGTCAACATTACACCGTGGTTCTCTGACGTCACCAACGTCGCCTGGGCATTCGTCGGGCATACTTGCACGTGTGAGGAATTCATTCTCTAGCCAGAAAGTGAAGGATCTGAAACGTCAGTTACGGCAATGTGAAGAAGATATAGTGCGGATAAAAGAAGAGTTGCAAGTTACGAATAAGGTACATTGTAGTTTTTTTCTCATTTATTTTCTAACACCTTCTATTGCAGAAAATATCGCTCACATACCCGTGCTGTCTTTGCGACTCCTTAAAAATTGTATTGCACGGCCGTGCATATATTTTAACGTGACGTCACTTAAGCTGAAACACGCGCAAAATGTTAGACAAATGTTAGCCTTACACTTTATGTGCGTCAATGAAAATCATTCATTTGCTTTTTTAAACAGTCTTTATTTTGGGTATGTGATAAATAGAATATTATATTCGTGTAGGTTCATTACTGAATTTATTTAACTTATTGAATAAAATAATATTTTGCTTCATAATGATATTTCATTCAACTCCTTCAATAAATTCAGTATTGAACCTACACTCATTCAATATCCTAGCTATTTTAAGGTCTTTAAAAAAGCTGTGTAAGTAACAATATCAGTCAATATATAATATCAATTATTACATGATTGTGGCCGATTTTGAACGAACTAATGATCCCTTTAAGTCATCAAGTATTTTATAAACACCGGCTGTAGTTAACCTGTATTTGTGTACATTATGTGACTCGATGAATAGACACCAATAGTTTAATTTTAATGTATGTAGATTTTTTTCTATAAATAAATCGTTTTCTGTCTTCCTTATTTGGTAATATAACCATTGCCTTAGATTATTTTGAAATCATTCCTTTGTTTATTTTAAGTACTCAAATTGAATAACATTTTGTTTGGTATAGATAATGGCTAAATATAGGAAACGATGTCACATGTATTTGTAATAAAAAATGCCTTAAGCGCTTATCATTCAGCCGGTTTAAAGTAAGTTAAAATACTATACACATGTAAAAGAAGACACTGCATCTAAAACAATGCTATATATTAGAGGTCAAATAAAAAGGAAGTTTTTTGCAGAGTTGAATCAATTTACTATAATCCAAGATTTCATAATTAAAATCACTGCACATGAAAAAGTTTTTTTTTTGTTGAGAAACTAAAAAAAATTTGAAAAAGTACAGTAAATGTTTGTGAGACCTAATTTCTTTAAATTTTGATGGGTAATTTAAAAAAAAATTTAAAAAGTTTTTTTTCTTTTTAAAAAACAAAATAAAAAAAAAAAAAGTTTTTATTGTTGTTTAAAGAGTGATGTTTATGGGATGATAATTAGATTGGGGGGTTTTTGGGATATGTGATATGGGTGGGACGACGAGACGATGAACAAAAATCATAATATTAATAAAATTGGTGTTGTTTTATTATTTATGTGTCTTTGTTGTTAAAAAAGAGGTGATGGATGGTGAGATGGGGAAATTTGGGGTGCTGATCAAATATATATATTTAAGGGTTGTTTACTAATAGCCAAAAATTCCCCGTCTCAGAATTTTCCAAACATATATATGTATGTTTTGTTATTTTTACTTCAATATTTTTTGTTATTTATAAGGGGATAAATAAAGATGATCAATTATCATAAGATCAAAAACAAGTGGGGTTGTTATTTTAAATTTTAAAGGTTTTTGTTGAGTTAATATGATGATGACATCACAAATGCAAGTTTTTTGTATTAAATCAAAAAATTTTTCCAAGTTATGCAGACATTTTTCAAATATTATCAACTTGGGGAATTTAATGTAAGTCCTCACTCGAATTTTATTATAATCAGGATTTTAAAAGGGTTTCCGAAATTTGAAATATAGTGGTTTTTGTACATAAATGGAGCTCCACTTAGGTTAAAAAGCCTTCAAACATAAAGTTTGAAAGTTTTACATAGATCAAGTGAAACAATTTTAATAACGATTTTTTATGGTGAGGGCTCGATTCGAATGACAAGTGTTGTACATAACGCTGTTCTTTTTAAAGTCATTTTGTAATAAGAAGGACTGTTTGGAGCAAAACGAAATGAGAAAATGATTTGAAAAATTTTAAAGACATTTTTAGTCCAGACCTACATCATATGATACACAAATCTCGAAAGAGATTTTGAAAAATAACGTTCCGGAAATAACCGATTTGCTACGATATTGGCCGATGTTTTTTTGGCGGGAAAGCATAACGGTAAGACTACCAGTTGCACATATTTTACAAGCATCTTTAAATCAAATTTATTATTTATTTCGATCTTCTTTTACAGGAAAATAATGACGCCACCTTGCGACTTTCAAACATCCTGAAATGTAACCCATTCAATATTTACATCAGTGGGGCATGCAGGAACGTCCATGTCGGGGATTCGAACACTCTGGTCCAAAACTCTGGTACTGATGATGTTATAGGAGATCTTGAAGAACTGACAGGAAAACTTACAGCGGCTGTGCAGGAAAACACACGAGAAAGAACAAACGCTGAGATTAAATTGAAAAACAACGAGGTATGACGCAAGGCTTTGTAAACTTCACTTTCAGTTTCAAGTTGGTCCAATAGATCTAGTTTCTTTAATAAGGGTTCGGCCACGATTTCAAGGGGGTCAAGCTTTTCATTAAAGGCACATCATGCCTCAGAAGTATTTAAAAAAATCTTTAGAAATGTCTGACGTTTTTGTTTTTAAGTGTTTGAATGATGGATTTAGAGCATGTTAGATGTTTAACAACTGACGGAAGTAGCGCTGAACGTGTAGTGACGTGTAATAAAGAGAGCAAAATTTAAACAAAGTACATATAGTATTTTGACTTCCATATAAAATACTTATGCCCTATTATTATACCTATTGTCAACAGAGCTCTAGTTGCAAAAGATAGTCAGTGTATATGCCAAATGAGTATTACTTTGAAAGTTGTAAGAAGATACGAAAAGTGAAAAGTTTTTAAGAAATAAAATCGGTAGAATTTCTGAGGCATAATGGATCTTTGATATGTCCAACATCAAAATCAAGCAGTCTGACTCCTTATTAAACCGTTATACTTACTGATTATACATGTATCTTACAAGATTTACATGTAGCATCACTTGTGCACTTGAAGGTTTTTTATGATGTTATTTATGAAGCCAGTATCACTTGGATGCAAGAGGTAAAGGACTCTGCATTACAGTCGGCATTTTAGGAGTACATGGTTGCGGGATCCTACATCCTGTAAATATTATGCTGAATATGGTCTACCGTCATGGTAGCCTTAACTTTGTTGCAGATGTCAACCATTTATAAAGAGTTGTTAATTTGGATAAGGTCTATGTGTACATATTTGTTCCTTTTCACTGATATGGCAACGAGTGGTGAATGCATGTTATTGGTTTTATCCAATTGAGGGTTTTTATGTAAAGCAATCAAATATAATTTATATCTACAAAATGTTCATGCTGAAATATCATTCATTATTATCTTATTTTCTCGCTGCCCAAAATTTATTATTAATTAACCCATAAGGACTATATAAGTGACATTAGATGCATGCTCTTTTCGGCGTTCTTGCATCACTCATTACAAAAAGCAGCGTTCTTTCATCACTAATTACAAAAAGCATCGTTTTTGCATAACTGATTACAAAACGCAGCGTTTTTGCATCACTTTGATAACAAAAAGCCGCGGTCTTGCCTCACTTTTATAACAAAAATCACCGGTCTTCTATCACTTTAATAACAAAAAGGCGCGTTTTCGCATCATTTTAATAACAAAAGCAGCGTTCATGCATCACTTACATAACAAAAACAGCGTTCTTGCATCGCTTTAATAACAAAAAGCAAGCGTTTCTGTGTAATTTTAGATTTTGCTGAAGGAGATGAGGGAATCTCTCAACATGTGTACCAAAATGCTTGATAAGCTCGACAAAAGCACGTCCAACAAACTAGGTCACGTTAAACAGATGCTCGAATCGTTGACCTCAGACCGTACGGACGACCGTGTGATTAGAGAAGGTATTGAACGCATGCGCCAGCATGTCATAGACCGGAAGAGAATTGTGCGAGTTGCAGACGAACTACCATGGGCTATACGTGTCGCTATTTATAGACTGGTGAATAAATTCGGTAAGCGTTCTGTTCTATTTTAGCAATCAATTTCTGTTTGCCTTTTTTTTATCATTTGATTTCGTAAAATATTTAGCAATTATTCACTGCGAATAGGCCTTACGCGGGCCGGCAAAACCTTGGAATACCATTTATAGTTTTAATTAAAAAAAATCAAACCTTTCCATACTTTACAAGTAACATATTCGAAAATGTCTAAGTATGCAAAATCAAATGAAAATATTTTGAGAACATTTTGGGATTGTCATATTTATAATTGTTCAGTATGAGATTTTAATTGCAAAACATTTCGTTGTTATATAGATAATTTTACTTGGCAAGAATTTGCCGAGGTTGTCGGGGTTAACGAATCTACAATACAGTCCCGTGGCGGCAGGAAAAAAGATGCAGACGACATTGAGCATTCGGATATCCTTGACAACGATATGTGCGCCAAAATTCTTGCTCAGTGGATAACACAGTCGGAGGAAAACGATGCTGACAAATTGATGAACATTATACAAGAATTTGATGCTCAAATATCGAAAGGTAATAAAAAAAACTTAGCAGACGATCATCATGAACAGTAACATTTTATACTTTCATTATATGACATGTTTATTGTGAAAACAATCCAATCTTATCTATATTGGGTCGCATAATGCAAGATTATTATTAAGTTGCTCGCTTCAGAAGATCAACATATAATAGAATATTCTAATGTGACACATAAGTATTTAAGCTGAACACCCTCAAATATGGGATTACAATAAGTCCCGCCTTCTTTTCAGTTAATATTAGCTTTATAGTCTATGTTTTACATTGATAGTCTAATATTTGTATTTTTTCTTTAAATCAAAAGTTACCAATCAAATAGATAAGACGAATATAATACTGGATGCCGGTGTAACATTAGATTT